CAGCTTGCCAGGGTGTGAAGGAAATGCTGTACCTCACTGCAAAGCCCAGAGAGATAGCAGACTTGAATAAGGTATCTAGTGCACGAGATGACTGCTCAGCTTTTGTAGCAGACTGAAAAATGAAGAGAATCGAAGGAAGTCTCCCATTGTCAAAATGAAGAAGAAATGATGAGATTGAAGCATCAGCAGCATGTAGGTCTTATGAAAGTTCACCTTGTGAGGAACAGAAGTCAAGAACTGTCACAGGGCATCAATTCCCACAGCTGACAGATAAAATTCTAAACCTACACCCTGTGAAAACACCATGTCAAAATGTTACATGAAGATAAAAAAAATCCCTACCATCATCTCATGTTGATAGAAAGAAGCAAAAGAGAAATTTCAAATACTCATTCCAAATGCAATACTTGGTGGGGATATGGGGCAACCCTAAGGTCACTGCCAGATTCTGTGAATATGAATAACAAATACTGAGCAACAGCTGCTTATACAATTATCACACTGATAAAGATATTAACGTAGATAATTTCTATCACAAAGTACAGTAATTCCAAGTGTTCAACACAGAAAATCTTTATTCATTTCTAAGCACTTTGCTATGGTTCCCAGCAATAATACTGTTTCCTTCACAGTAAGATCAATAAAGGCACTTGAATCCAGGAACTGCATCAGGCAGCGCTGATTTTTTCAAATGAAAGGGAATGGAATTTAGGTATCTCTGGACAGGGAAACAAAACAAACAGTAATGCACATATACATACACACTTGTACTTGTTGAAACGTGCTCTGACTGCTCATAAAAAGAAGATGAAGCTGAAAAAAAGACTTCACATTGATTAAAAGCAGAACTAAGATTCTATTTCATCATTTCTTTATTGTGAAAGCAGTTGGAGTGGGCCAAGTTGCAGAGTCAGAATGCCCTGCAATCACACAGTGACAAGCTGTGACCTTGAGACAGCAGCACAACCTGAGCTTTGCTCAAGAAATGACCAGTGCTGCTGTGCCCTTCTTTAAAACCCCAGCTCACTCTGAAATATCGCCATGTAATTCAAAAGGGATGTTTCAATGAGAAAGAGGCAAATTTCAGTTTCTAGCAAACCTCATAGAAATAAAAACAAAAAACATACCAAAAAGGAATTTAAACATGCTTCATGAACACCAAATGCAGACTTGAAATCACAAAATGTATTTGAAATTAGAAAATTTTTGAGCTGAAGCTGTGTTAGAGGAATTCTACAAACAGCGCAAACTGAAAGCTGCAGGTTTTTGGACTGACCACAGAGCAGAAGCAGGTACTTTCCTCCCTTAATGAGGCTAAGCACATGCTCATGAGGACTGAACGGCCTTCTCTGCTTAGTTCAGACTGTTCCCATGCTCAGTGTTTCTCAACTTACTTCTCTCTTTAAAAGGCAGCAAGCACACAGATAAGAGCAGGAAGATGAAGGGAGCCTGGGCACAGCACCAAGAAACAACATCTGCTCAGAGATCTTTAAAAGCCACCTGGACATGGTCCTGGGCAGCCTGTTCTGAGTGACCTTGCTCCAGCAGAGGCTTGCTGGACCAGGTGACCTCTAGAGCTCCCTTTCAACCTAATTCTGTGAAACAGTAACAGCCCCATTCAAAACTTTTCCTCAGCATCAACGATGGCGAATTTTCCCAAAAATTTTGTCAACAACATATTTTTTTTTTAATATTGAAAAACTAGTATAACCTAAGAAAACATAACTCTCTCCTGTTCCATAGAATCCCAAGAGAATGAAGATGGTCCAGTCCAATCTTGCCACTCAAACTAGGATCCACTAAAAAGGTTGGTCAGGACTGGACCCACGTGGCTTCCAAGCATCTCCAAGGATGGGAACTCCATGATCTGTATGGGAAGCCTGCTGCTTGTTCACCCACACAAAGCCTCCCAATGCTTTCTGACGCTGCATATCAGGAAGGACCTCTCCTGAGCCTGGAGGAGCTTGAAACAGTAAGATGCTAAGATATGACACTTATTAGAAGGGCACAGATGAAATTCTGTCATTGCTCTTCAGCACGAAACATTCAGAACCTTAAAAGCAGGCACTCCTCCTTAGGAGAAACACTGCACTTTATTTTTTTTTAAAGTAAACCATGAATTTCCTAACTTGGTTTCACAAATCTCCGATTTTTTATTAGCCATACACAGTAAAACAGGACTCAGTAACTCTTAAACAGAATTATCCTTCCTAAACATAAACATTTATACAGCAGTTTTATCTTCACAAAGGGCTTAGCACACAATTCCACAGACAGCAAATTTGATCCTCCCCACTTCCCTGAGACTCTGCCGCCCCTGCTGAAGCACCAGCCAAAGCAACTCCTGGCCATTTCTATTACATTTTATATTAGCATGAAGATAGTTACAGATCCTGACAGTCACTTTGTTTTGTTGGCACAAGACCAGGGAAAGAACCAGATCCCCTAGATTATACAATTATTCTACATAATTCTTGAATGTGAAAACTACAATCTCATCCCAATCCATGCAGACTGGAAGTAGATTGAGGAGGGAATACATGCATATGCAATAGAAACAAACTACAGCAGGTCACTTGGATAGAATGAAATCAGAGAAAACAGATGAAAAATCTGTCACAGGTCTATAGTATGGGTGTCATTTTGTCAGATTTTTTTTTATATCCTGTGAGGAAGTCAGCAAGCCTGCTGGAGAGCGGGTGTTTTGTGGAATGGCTCTAAGGTGTCCAGAAATGGCAATACACAAATCTAGCAAAAAAGTTTACTTTTTTGAAAAAATGTTAAAACTAAAAGAGGAGGAGAAACTGCCCAACTGAGACTGAAGTAGGCGTGATTCTCTCTTCCTTTCAAAACACAGCTAACTTTCATTCATATATTGTTAGCAGCAAATTCTCCTCAATTTCATGTATCAGTTAGTAGGACTACTATCACACGTATCATAGAGTAGGACTAACCACAGCGCTCTCTCTTCCCTTCAATTACCCCTTGTGAAAGGAGGGATCACTGGTGTCTCTCCACCCGGCCTGCAGTCACTAACCAAAGGCCAGGCTACACACCAGCATCCTCTGCAGCCTCCTTCACCACAGACTGGGACCTCACTAACAAAAAAAAACGTTTGAGAGGCACCCCTATGCTTGGAAAAAGATCAAGAAACGTAATCATGCAAGAATGAATTTCAACACAATCCAGCTCTTAGCAGCAGGAATTGGCATGGCTCTCATGCTGACCAAACCAAGCCCAGGCAGACTGAGTCAGTGGACAAGTAGAGCAATATGAGTTACTCATACCAGCAAAAGGCTGAGACTTGGCTAATTCACTTACAGCAGCAGCAAGTGTTATAGTGGGTAATTAGCACCACAGCCTTTTGCAACCCACAGATCTTAAAATTAGGGATGGTGGTGATGGTTGGTTGTTGTTTTGGTTTTTTAATTTCTACAAAGGCACTGACTATTATTTTCTAAATAGAGGATTGTTTTAATCAAGTCAGTCAACTAGCTTGTATCCAAATTAGTACTGCAGACACACTGCCTGTGGTCTGAGTGCCTGCCACAGCACCTCAATGTCATGTGGCCAAACACGCTACACACAAGTAACAAAGCTGTTATATCAGCTCTGGGAGAACATTGAGCTCTCATTTCTTTCTCCCTCCTAGCACTTCCTGGAAAGGCTGTTTCTCTGCAGAGCAGCACTGCTTTACCACTGCACATCTCTGAATTGCACCAGCGTGATTAGATAAGCTCCCTTTTCCCAGCATGACCCTCCTGCACAGCCCATGGAGTTTTTTCACCCCCCAGCCAGGGCCACCTGCTCTGCAGGTTGTGCCTCTGGCCAGCACACAGAGCTGCTCTTCTTTGGTCAAGAAGCAACTGGGATTCCCTGCAGAGCCTTTTCAGCTGCCAAAGCACCTGGAAGAGTTTAATGCCAAGCAAGTTACCACTCTCCCTCCACACTGGCCTAGGCGATACATAACTAGCAACAATAGCAGAAACAATCAGTGCAAGTAAGCAGAACCATTTCCATCAATCAATCTGCATGGTCTCAGCACTACAGGATGGGAAAGAAACAACAGCATGTGCAACTGATTTATCATATATGGGATATGAAAGCAATATCATCAGTTTTGGTTAATGATTTAAAAAGATGCAGAGAAATAAAATTCACTGTTCTTTTGGAGAAAAGTCACAGTAATTTTTAAGTGTAAAAGGTTTGCCTGACCTTCCAAATAGCTTACCCTTTCTCAAGCAGTTTTATTAACCCTGATGTTCTAGAAGTATTTTACTAAAGTACTGCATAAGCCAGAATTGAGTAAACTCATCTACTCAAAGTGTTCAAAACAAGCACTAATAAACCTCCTGACCAAATCCCACCCGTGTGGAAAGCAGAATTTGTATTTTAAGTCTTCAAGAATGACAGCTATGTGTTCACAATAATTAAAGCACCATTTGCCAGTGGTGCCAGTCAAGCACCTGAAGAACTCCTGGTTTTGATCATTAAAAACTAAACACCTAAGTGAAAATTGACTAATTAGCAAGGTTTTTTCCTTACTGAAGCTTCTCTGCAGTTTGAAAATCAATACAAGCTGGCTTTAAAGCTCTGCTACATGTATCAAAGCACAAAACTACAAGCACAATTCCTTATCTCTATTTCCACAGCTGTTTCCAGTTTGGGCAACAGGAATAAATAAGTCCATCTTCCACAGTTTTTCATATCCTTGGAATCTGCATTAGTAGCGCAGGTAATCACAGGCATCTGGTTATCTTTAGGCAGCTAATCGTAGCTGTCTAGTGTTAATCACTCCCAATTTCAAACAAAGTAGTCTAAAAGAGAATCTGTAACTACTGCATACATGTTGAAGATATTTTATGTGAAATAAAAATAACAAGCAGCATGTAAATAAAACAGCAATAAAGAGAAAAGATCGCTTTAAATATCTTTCTTTCAGTCAAATAAGCATTTCAGAACTTTGTCAGAGACATAAAATTATGAGTAAGAAACCATACCTGATACTCTTCTGTTGTATCGGTTAATGACAGGAGCTGCAAAATAAGCAAAACAAAATTACAAATGCTATTTAAGAATTCAAAGTCATCATCTTGAAAAATCATAGTACATTTTTACTACAGAAATCCCATACAAACATTTCTTAAAAACAAATAAAAAATGCTTTAATGTAAAGCTTCCATCCACCTACTTGCCAACAAGTACATATTTAGCTGAAATACCTTCCAATCACTGATGGAACTAGACCATCTTTAAGTTCTCTTCCAACCCAACCCATCCATGGTTCTGAGACAAGAGAAATACTAACTCCAAAACAAGATATCATATTCATGGTAAAAACACCTCATCTAGGTCATAATTGTTCCAGTTAAGTGATTAACGAGTCTCACCTCCTGATGTGAATACTTTTAGCCCAAAGTTTTCCACTCAAATTCAGTTTGCCACAAGTAATGACTAATCTGACATGAAATGCACCATGACATTTTATTGCAGCAATGCAAAAACTAAGATCATGAATAAACACCTGCTGAGGCCTAAGCTTATGGAAGCATGTAAGGTACAATTTATCCCTGCTGACTAGCAAAAACAAAACCAAATTACATCACATAAAAAGCAGAATCCAATTGCCTTCAGAAGCTGTAACATATAAATGAGTTTCCTGACTGTTGATTAAATCCCTTGAACGAGATTTGTTAGCCCCAACTGATTCAGGCACAAGTATCTTTCTTTTCCACCCTTTGACCACACACTTCTTACTCACGTCTAAGAGCATGTAACATTGCAAAGAACGACAGTTACAGAAAGCTCTGACATACTTTGGGTTCCACAGAAAAGCACTTTCCAGAGACTGCAGCTTCTTTCAGAATACTGGTTATTTTATCTCACAGCAGGGATTAGTGCCATCCACACAGCACCAAGTAGTGCACTGTGTTGAAAACGAGCAAAAAAACATCACCTTTTAAGGACAGTAAGGAGTGCTATTATTCTGCCTCCACAAAGCACTTAAGATTAAATCGATAGTTTGCTTCTCCTCACACTTGTGACAGTTTTAGCACGTATAAACTTTCAGGATCACTTTTATACGTTGTCAGACGATGCCTATTCCTATGCTAAGGAGCTAAAACATGACATTTCCTACTTCTGAAGATTACCTTTTCTTTAATTCTGGCTTACCAGGGAAAAGCTCTGTCTATGACTACTCCCAGTGTTGCACGGCCGCTCCCATGGAGCAATCTGCCTGCACTGAGGGCTGCTGAGAGCACGGCTCATGATGGTCCCACCGCAGCAACACTGGGCTGCAAGCAGATGCCACTGAATTAGATAGGGCAGCAGGGACCAACACATCACAGCCCAGCCTACACGGAAATAGTTCCCACACAAAACATAAAAGGGCATCTAACTTAAAGCACAGCTCATTAGGTTAAAGCACACTGATAGGTTACAACTGTAACCTCTGGTACCAAGGCAGCCTGCAGAGCAGGCATCTTCCTACACTCTGACACAGAAGTCAAGGCACCAGCCCTCAGTAAAGTCCCTGCCTACAACAAAAACAAAAAAATGCTACTGCAAAAACAAAAAAACAATTCATCCTATTTGTATCCACATTTCGGATACCCAACAGCACGCCAGGGCTGTGCTCAGGTCAGTTACACGTTAATTGAAGGAATCAGAACAGTAATAAAAAGGTTCCTATGAGGACTGTATTATAACTCTCTCTAGGTCCAAACCCCATGCAGCAGCATTAAAGCTCAGCATCACAGAATCACCACACATCTCCTATCTTTGGCACAGGGCTCATTTCTGTTTGTGCCGTGGCAGCCAAGACTAACTGGGGAAAGGCAACAAAACCTGTGGCAAATCAAACCGTTGTACCAGAAGAAACCAGAACAGCCCCATTTCCTCCCTGGCAACCGATGGCCAGTGACATCAACAGCAGAAAGGCTCCAAGCTGTGTGCTCGCATCCTACGCTTCTGCCAGAAAGGACTTCAGCCACCAACACCCCTCAGCTGTTGGAGGAGAGTCAGAAACCTCTGCTGAACACATACATGTTCCTCAGACCGACCTGAAGCACGGACTTCATTAAGCACAGGAACACTTCAGGGCGGTTTCTCTGATGGAGCAGATTCCAAGTTTCTGGCTGTGGGATTCTTTTTATTACAGATTTAATTTCTCGAACCACTCAGTTCTCCAGCTAAAATGAAGTATTTAATAAGTGTTTATCAACTTTATACCGTATCACTTAACCTGACTCACATTCTCCTCTTCCTGCACTAAGGAAAACATAAGTAGTGAGTGTTCATTCCCACACAGGGACATCATATATGTACACACACAAGGAAAAAATAATGCTATGAAGTCACTCAGTGAGATGCTTTTAAAACTGATGAGCTACCTTCATTCGATTCTGAAAAATCAGCAACACACATTTGCTAATAAAAGACTGCAATTTTTCTTCCTGAAAAGTGTATCCCTCCATTTATTTAGTAAATTGAGATGAATCATTTGCATCAAATCAATATCAAAAGTTCTGTACAAACATGACTTACATCAATAGCAAAAAGCCCTATTGCCACACAGCTGCAATTCTGCTTCTTAGTGGCTCCATCTCTCATTCAAAAAATTTGGGATATAAAACCTCAGACATTCACTGGTACTCAGTATTGTTGGAAGCACTGCAGCAGCTTCGTGGGGTTTGGTCAATTTTTTTTTTTTTTTTTTTTTTTTTTTAATATTTTTGGAAAGTGGAAGAAAAAAAAAAAAACAGGGAATTCTGCAGCATTCTTCAGTTTGCTCGGTGCTGAGACTTCCTTTTTGTCTCCTAACAGTGAAGCCTAGTTAGCCATGCCTGAGCTACATGAGCTGTGACCACTGCTGAAGGCAGGTGTGAACACTCAGCCCCATATGTGAAAAAGTACACAGATATTACCTGCTTTTATTCTTGCTCTAAAAACCAAAGCAACAATTATAGTATTCGGATAAGAAATTGACAATAAAATTGTTCTTCAACTTCACAAACCAGATACAAGAGAATTAACCAACCCTACCACGTGTGGGATCCCACCCTTGCCGGTGCACTGAAAAGTGACTGGCAAAGAATAGCAGCAAGCTTCTTCCAAGCTGCATTACCAGGGTAACTGAGACATTTGTTTGCACTATTTACAAACTCTGTGAGGTTACAGAAAGCACTAAAGCTTGAGAGTACAGACAAATGACAACAGCCATCCCCAGCTGCTATCCTCTTCCTTCACATACTAAGAACATTACATTCCTACAAAGACTTGCCCAGGGTCACAGGAAAAAAACTCAGGGACAAAGGAAGAACTGGCATTCCAGGCATGCAGAGTACAAGGTTAGCACTGTGACACCTTCAGTGAAAACACTGCTCCTATTCCAAAAGGACTTTGCTTTTTACCAGGATCTGTGAATGCTTCCCTAATTACAACTGGGGAAAAATGCACTGATTGCTTCTGATAGTGCTTATAATTTATAGAGACAGACTAAGTAAAGTTCTTGTGTGCCCAGAAAATTGATTTCCTTTACCATAGATCTTCCAGGCAACAGCCTGACCAACTCAACTACTTGTTGAAAGTTCTCTCATGAAAGATGGAGCAAAGTTTATGAAGGGTCGCATGAATTCAGCAGAGGAGCTCCTTACGTTCTGACAGCAGTACAAAACATCAGTCACTTTAGAGCACTGTCCCATCAAATGACGGGGCAAAATCATCCTGTGCGAACAAAGAGAAACTGAACGCAAACTGCTCGTATGGAACAAACCACTGAAGATCATCCAACAAAATGAGAGCTGCCACTAGGAACTATGAGAGCTTAAATACCAGAAGGAGAGCACAGCACAAATCGAGGTGTGACTGTCTGTGTGGAATGCTGTATCGACTTACGATAAGGAAGTGCCAGGCTGCAGCTGTCAGACTTTTCCTACTCACCAAGATGTTAATGGACTCGCATGAATACGAGCCATCACTGCTGCGAGAAAAGTTAAAGACTCAAGCACCAACATTTAAGGCTATCTAGTAATTAAATCAGTGTGCTATAAAGGAATCAAGACTTTCACCATGCAATCAGACTGCAACAAATGCTAATCGAAACAAGTTTTTCAACAACTAAGTAGTTCAAGGCAGTTCTCTGTGATTAGTACTAATAAAAAAAAACACAAAGTATCCACACACATACACTTGGCCTTTCTGTAAAATGCTTTTATATGTATTAAGTTGGAAAACAATCACAAAATTACATTACTATTAAACATTTCAATAAAACGTGGGCATTCTTTTTCAGTCAGTGTTTAAAAATAGAGCTCAGCAGGAGATAAAGCATAAAACCAAAGCAGCACCACACAGTGGTCTCCATGTTTAATTGATTTTTTTTTTAATTTATATTTAAAAATTACTGACACAAAATGGAAGTATTAATTGGCTACTTCTAAAGGAAAAAGATGAATGAACAAGCAAGGCAGCTTTGTCAGTTAAAAAAAAGATGTTTCACAAGGATTTTAGAGCTGCTCTGCTATTCTCAGTCGGCTGTTTTATTTAAGGAGGAAGAAAAAATGTGACGCGCTCTGGGATAGGCAGACTTGAAATAGCTGATACATTCAGGAAAGCCATAAATCTTGATGGAAGAAATCAGGGGAAACCTCTGGTTACAACAACTTAAGAACCACTACTAAAAGATTTTTGTCTTTTTATATCAAAGACATTTTAGAAAAAAATACACCAGTATTTCAGCGTTCTCATTTCATGACTGAACGCACTACGGTGCATGGTATGATTTTGGTTATGTTCATCAGCAGATATCAATTCCGTACCAAGAAGGACCACGCTCCTGCTACGCAATGAACCCCACACTCACAGTTCAGGAGTTAACAGCCTAACTGAAGCCCAACTACAGGGGAACGAACAGCTATCGAGCAGCACTCGGCGTTATCTGACGCTGCAATGGCTGACCCACACAGCCCTCAGACCCACACGTCAGCCCTATTTCCTGCTGACGTGTTCAGATCCAGGCAAACATCACACTTCC